TGATTTTTTTTTCTGCAGAAAATAGATGTACGCATATACACAATAAAAGTTATTAAACACAACTTTATCTGGTACTCGCGATAGATCGAAATTGCCCAGTTGGTTGAAGTTACATCACTCTTCCCTATCAGTTTAAAAAGTCAGACAAAAAAAAAACCCAACTTTACTGTAAATCTTATAATTACATGTTCAAAGTTTAGCCAGTAGCATGAACAGAAAGGTCATTGTTTTATGTTTATTTTTTACCTCTCCCTTTTTCCGTAAGAGAGAATCTTCGATCATGCTTCACAATAAGATATTTTTCTTTTTCCCTTCATTTCCCTTTTCGGAACCCCTTTGCTCGTTTAAATTTCCACTGAAATGTATTGTAGCGTCACAGTAGCGACCACGACAAGTAGTTTTGAGGTATCTTGCGGGGATTTTATCTTTTGAAATCTCAATAACATTGAAGAATTCAATTATGCAACTGTGAATACAATGAACGATCCCCTCTTTTGGTTACGTTCGTTCTTAAGATGTCGGTATATTTCTCTAATAAGCGAGACAATTTTTTTTACGAATTGTGGTAATTGCTCTATATAATTTTTAGGAATACTTCTATATGCGAGAATGAAATTTTCGCGAGCACAATGTCTCGCGTAATTACGCGAAAATAAAGTTCTCGCGAATAAAAAATGATTTACAGTATTTATTTCCAAGATATACAATTTTAAAATTTTATTTTTATTTACTTTCTTTACCAGAAAAAAAGTTTCTTCCTAAGGTAGAAGAGATGATTTATTAACAAAATTTTCAAGGGCAGAGTGTTTCATTCCAAAATCTGACCCCCCCCCCCCCCATTTTCACTGGACGTCCTCTTAATAACACGAAAGGAACAGATACATCTTAAATTCTATGCATGTTTCTATGAATAAAAATTAAGACAATACAAGTATACTTATCATTGCAAAGTGTTTTGAATATGCCCTGTACGTATTGTGACGTTTTTGACGTCATCACTGTGAGTTTGACGTCGTCATTGTATCACGGTTGTCTTTCAATATTTGCCAAGATACAGTGTAACGTTACAATTTTATTACTTAGAGCAAATGAATGCTTAAACAAATACATGATTTATAAACTTAAACACTGAATAGATCAATACTTTTTTTTTTATATAAAATACTTTTGATGGGACATATATGACCCCTGTGGCAGCCAGTGGGTAGAGCCCATATATGACCCCTCTGGCAGTGAGAGGGTTAAGTGGATTACAGTATGGATCCACACGAACGAAAAAAAAAAAACAGTTGCAGTAAACTGGTCTAAACTGCAGACTCAATATTCCAGTCAATAGACAAGCATTATCGCAATATTAGGCAAAACAAAATATAAATCGATGAAAATATTTACGCACAAAATTAAATTATTTTAAAAATTATATTTGATATATAATTTACCTTAAAATTTTTTCTGACATTTTTCTTAAGTGTTTCTTTTATTTGTCGTGTCTCCCTTTCGAATTTCCTGATTTTTTAAAATACAAACACTTCTTTTCTCATCTTCTTTTCAAGCCCGTAGAACCCCCACTCCACCCCATTTTTTTCTGCGTATAGTACTTTTCTTTAAATAGCAAATTTACTTTAGATGCTAGTCCCCCCCCCCCCCACTTTTTCATCTTGTAAGGTCAAGCACTGGCAATTTCTAGGATTTGGACAGTAAATTTATCTTCTTTTTTTTGGTCATATAGTTTTGCCCCCCCCCCCCCCACTTTTGGTCAGTTAAGTTTTTTCTTTCTTTTTCTTTCTTTCTTTCTTCTTATCTATTTATTTATATATTTATATTTTTTGTGCTTGTCAGATGTTTTTGGGAAGTTGGCCACCCACTTCTGAAACTGTTGTTAGGAGCCTGCTTTCTTCTTCTTCTCTAAATATACTTCGTCCGATGTAACAAGAAAATAACTGTTTGTCTTCTTTCTCTACCAGCAACGATAACGCTGGGTATAAAGCACCCATTGAAGCTAAAGAGGTGGTATCAGTTGGTCAGAGAACCTGTCAATTCCAAAGTGCTGTCATGAATATCCAACCACCAGTGGATGGCCAGTAACAGACTCAGGAAAAGTAATACTGTAAATGTTATACTGTAAATGGTGTCAATATCAGCCGTAAAACCTCCGAGTAATAAACAAAAGTTGACATTAAAATTTTACTTCAATGAAATTGTGTCTCTTGTTATGTCATTTTTATGGTCAGTATGCTAGACATTCGATATTCTGACGTCATTTTCGGAGTTATTACGTAATAAAAATGACAAAGTGACGTCACAATATATGTATATTTTTGTGATCTGTCTAATGATGTCAAATTCAGTAATTTTCATTAAACGGTTAATATTTTATCAAACAGTTCTCAGAACTATTCAAATGTCCCTCGTATCTAAAGGTGCGCCGATGTCGACTAACAGAATATCAAGCGGCAAAAGAACTTTTTTAAGTATGTAGGAACCCTATGAAAATTTAAAAAACAAAACGAACAAACAACAACATGTGATCAATAAGATTAATAATGCACTTTTGCTAGAAGAAAATAACTTCCAACTTACATGTATATGCCATAAAAAATATTAAACTTTTAAAATCAAACATCAAAATATTATTCAAAATTAAGATGGTATTGAAGTGAAAGTTTTTATAATTAAAAGTTAAAAGTTAATTTAATATTAATATCACGGAATTTTTTAGAATATGAAATATTTATGTATTTATTTATTTCTATTTATTTATCTATTGTTGATTTAATGTGACAAGAAGTTAACAGAACATAAAAAAATACCTGAGGGGTTTTATTTATTTATTTATTTTTTTTTTTCGATGTTAAACAAACAAACAATATTGCTGAATAGTGCAAATACATGTAAGCTACGATCAGACAAGAGGAATAACTCTAATTTGTTTACTTTGATTTCTTAGATTACCTGAAATCTAAAATTGAATAATACCAAAAAAATACCTGTGCATTTAACCAAGCATATACTGGTTATTATTTAGAATGACTGACAGAAAAATCAATTTTTGAATTTCCCGTTGTTTTTTTTATGCCCCTAGATCGAAAGATCCCGGGGGTATATTGTTTTTGTCCTGTCTGTCTGTTTGTCTGTCTGTCTGTTGTCAACTTTAACCTTGCCCATAACTTTTGATTGGTTGGAGCTATGACTTTCATATTTCACATGTGTATTCCTTGTGACAAGACCTTTCTTTGGGTACCATCATATTTGACCTTTTGACCTTGACCTTGGAGTTTGACCCACTTTTGCAAAATTTTATGAGACTTTAACCTTGGCGATAACTTCTGAACAGTTGATGCTTGGGGTTTCAAACTTCACATGTGTATTCTTTGTGACAAGGCCTTCCTTTGGATACCAACAACTTTGACCTTTTGACCTTCACATAGGAGTTTGACCTACTTTTGAAAAACTTTAACCTTGGCCATAACTTTTGAACAGTTGGTGCTTGGGGTTTCAAACTTCACATGTGTATTCCTTGTTACAAGACCTTTCTCTGGATATCAACCTCTTTGACCCTTTGACCTTGACCTAGGAGTTTGATCTACTTTTGAAAAACTTTAACCTTGGCCATAACTTTTGAACGGTTGGAGCTAGGGCTTTCATACTTCACATATGTAATCCTTGTGACATCACCTTCCTTTGGATACCAACAACTTCGACCTTTTGACCTTGACCTACTTTTGAAAAACTTTAACCTTGGCCATAACTTTTGAATGGTTAATGCTAGGGCTTTCATACTTCACATATGTAATCCTTGTGACATCACCTTCCTTTGGATACCAACTACTTTGACCCTTTGACCTTGAAATAGGAGTTTGACCAACTTTTGAAAAACTTTAACCTTGGCCATAACATTTGAATGGTTAATGCTAGGGCTTTCATACTTCACATATGTAATCCTTGTGACATCACCTTCCTTTGGATACCAACCACTTTGACCCTTTGACCTTAACAAATGAGTTTGACCTATTTTTGAAAAACTTTAACCTTGGCCATAACTTTTGGATGGTTTGTGCTAGGGCTTTCATACTTCACATATGTAATTCTTGTGACAAGACCTTCCTTTGGATACCAACAACTTTGACCTTGACCTTGATGTTTTACTTACTTTTAAAAAACTTTAAACTTTGCCATAACATTTGAACTGTTGCATCTAGGGCTTTCAAATTTCACAGGTATATTCCTTGAGACATGACCTTTCTTTGGGTACCAACATTTTTTTATCTTTTGGCCTGGATTTTGACTTGCATTTTAGAAACTTTAACCTTCACCATAAGCTGCCGTACGGGGGCATCAGTGTTTCACAAACACATCTTGTTTTTTTTGTTTTTTTTTTTTTTTTTTTTATTTACGCGTTTGTCTCCAGATTACAGACCCGAACTATATATAGACATTTAGGTCTACATATTAAAAGTAAAATTGTAAGTAATCCAATTAAAATTAGATCTTAGTTTCGCTCTAACTAGATCGCTACACATAAGATTGAATTGTAAGAATCTCAACTTCTTTGTAACCAAAAAAAAAAAAAAAAGAAGAAAAAGAAAGAAAATAAGAAAGAAAGAAGGCAAAAAAAAAACCCCTGCCATCAATTGCGATTTATAGAATTAAATTTGATTTAAAGACCTTCTCTCGTAAATTTCCTACAAATATATTTATTAAACCTATGATTCGGCTGAAATACCTGTAAACAGATAGATCCTCCTGTATGATTTATAAATGACTTGTAAACGGATACTTACACAACTGAAGGAAGTTGTCACTAATATCCGAAAAATATTGCACCGTACAATATGCAACGAACGTATTTACGCAAATATTTGTTCCGGTCTGGTACCGTAGCACACAAATAGAATTGAATTACAGTAATAAACAGAGGAACTGTTCAAAGTCACGAATACTTTTGATTTAGTCATATATTGTTAAATTTTTTTGTGATACTTCCCTCAGCTCGAAAAAGAATGGGGAAGATTTTTGCTTTTGGTGTCATTTTAATTGCGGTGGTTGTGTCTTTTATTTCAAAATACAACGAGAATGGAGCTCCTCCGGTATCTTTTAACAAAACATACGACTACATTATAGGTAAGAATAATTCTAGTAGTTATTCCTTCAATTTAAACCTATGACGTCAGAGCAGTGGTGCGTACAATTGGCATTTAAAATATGCCTATTGAGAAACTCGGATTTTAAATTGTTGAAATATCAAAAATATTAATTTTCTAGCAAAGAAATTTAAACGGATGGTTTTCATGGCATGAAAACTTTATTATATCAAAGAATTCTGAGAGTTATAAAAATCCTATATATGTTAAATATATGTATGAGTTTTCAAATGATACATTAAAAGACTAATACGAATCGTTTGAATCGAGTAATTTTTCATCATAATTTCTTGTCTATATTATTATTGAAGAAAGAAAACTCAAATTATTTCCAAATAAGAAATATCTTTCCATATATCATGAAGATATTTACAGATTTTTTTTTTGTCCAAATTAAAGTCGGCGCTGGATCGGCAGGATGCGTCCTTGCCAACAGACTTTCGGAAGATCCCGAATCCTCGGTACTCATCGTAGAAGCTGGGGGATCTGAAGATGATAACCCGATGATTCAGGTTCCTATCGCAGCATTAGCCCTGCAAAATTCAAAAGAAGATTGGGCTTTCAGAACCGTTCCTCAGAAGCAGGCATGCTTAGGACTGAAGGACCAAGTAATCTTTGTATTTCATTTAATAAAGCTATATCCGATCTACTGCTTTTTATTGTTATCATTTGTGAGGAATACAATGAAATCGAAAAAAGAAAGATATTTAATACGCAGTTGTATTTCTATTCATTTTAGAGAAGTGCTTGGCCTAGAGGAAAAGTTCTTGGGGGATCAAGTTCCCTGAACATAATGCACTACATCCGGGGAAGTCGGCACGACTATGACAGCTGGGCTAGGGAGGGGTGTAAGGGTTGGGACTATAAAAACGTCCTACCTTATTTTATAAAATCTGAAGATAATCAAATTCTCTCTCTAAATGATTCTGGTAAGATGTACTATTTAGTCAATTAATTTATCAACATGTTCTATGTTTTATAGTTTACTATAGACTAGTCTGAATACTACTACATGTAACGAATTTATATTAATAGTTTACTGTAGAAATCAAATATTAAATTTAATAATTATTTAATCTAGTACCGTGAAAGTTCTAGCTAGTATGTAAATTATATTCTCCTTATAAAAACTGCATTTTTAAATCATCGCTAAAGCACAAAGCATGGTTACTGCCGCATTTGGGCCCTCGTTTAGTATAGTAAAATTTGTGAACGTGTGCAATTAATACCTTAATAATGCTCGTTTTGTTACCAACATCGAGTTTTTGTTCAAAGTGTACACAGAAGCCACAAAAGGGTGATAAAATAGGACGTTTTACTGAACTTTCTCAATTCTGATAACATTTCGTGAAATTTAAGATACTTTTATATCTCATAGAACATATAGTACAAGCTTGCCTATCTGAGTGAGATTTTTATACACAAGATGCATCTGGAACTGGTGCATGAAATATATAAATTTAGTAGATAGGCAAGTTTGTGCTCTGTTTTATGAAACAAAATATGATTTAAAATTGAGGAAAATTTGAATGAAAAATGAGAAAATTTGGAAATTGGGAAATTTTGCGACCTTCCTATGACCTATGTGTATCTTTTCACTTAGATTAATACCCATTTTGTAACAGTGATACATGTATCAACAGGTTTTAAATTATGAACTCCTAAGAGATACCCCAAACCTGGGACCAAAAAGGAATCTAAGAGTATGTTGTCCTTTACTAAAATATTTAGAGCATGGGATAACTATGTATTCCTTCCATGATCATACCGCATTTCATAATGTAGATGGGTTATAGGGTAGGATGTTCTAATTTAAATATACCGTGTTACTCTAAATCTCACAACCCATAAACTGACTGTCTTTTATATCACTTCCTAGGCTGACATTGACAAGATTATTTTTTTTAAATAAGTAACATGTATCATAAGTAAATTAAAGCCGTTCCAATATAACAAACTTCACTTGAAACAAGCAAATTTTTTAACAGAATACCACGGCAAAGGAGGTTACCTTACCGTCAGTGACGGGTCAGCCACGCCCCTTATTGCTGTGTACGAGAAGGCAATGAGAGAGCTGGGATATCCAGTGACAGACTGCAATGGAAAATCACAGACGGGTATCCGAAAATTAAAAAGGAAATTTGTAAAGATAATACACTATTCCAGTGAATATAGTGTGTACTTTTAGTGGAATGATTAGAATTCCATATTGTTTCAATATTCCCGATTCTCTTCTCTAAGGTATAATTAGCATTTTTATTAATTTTTAAAGTATAACTTTTATCCAGGCTTCTTTTACGGACAAGAGACGGTCAGGAACGGCGAGAGATGGAGCACAGCTAAAGCTTTTCTCAGACCGGTCATGCATCGCTCTAACCTTCATGTCTCTACCAATTCACACGTCACCGAGGTAAATATTAGATATATGTGAATGAAATATTTGCAGTAATGATTCACCAGGCAAGAACTATAGAATCCGGGCATGTACTTGACTAATGCACAATCGATCATCGAGTGAAGGGTTGATGATGATGACTTGACAGTAAGATAGCGCAATGAGTATGATGCAATAGCGCGACATTGCGATGACAATATTACGATTTAGCGATAGCGAACATCGCTTCATCGCACCATCGTCATCGCATCAATGCGCATCTCTGTTAATATTGTATCATCGCGTCGTCGCTCCATCATGCCATCGCATCACTAGCATTACTACATATATCATCATTGCAATGTCCATCGCATCATCGCGTCATCATCATCACCAACGCAGCTAGGTTAAGGACTCCCATATATACGTCAGCCTATGCAGAGATTCGGGAAAGCTATTATGACGTCACGTTGAAACAATTCAAATGAATTTCGATGAATAAATACTATCTGGGTTTTTTTAAAACACACTAAATTACTTTCGTTTCTCATAAATATTATAAAGATAAATGGATGTGCATCTTATCTTGCCAAAATAGCACTTTGAGTATGTAGAATAAAATCCAGCTTGATCTCGCTGTACTTACTGAGATGACGTCATTTCTTAGTTTGACACGCAGTTTCTCTGTACTTGAGGCGTGGATCAAGCTATTATCGTAGCTTGTAAAAATAAAAATAAATACGAAACAAGCTTAATTGGACCAAACTAAATGCATATTCTAATATATATTAATCCATATTTTATTGTCAAACTAAATTGATAATGTGTAGACCTTATATATACATGTAGCCGTAGGGAGCACACTTGTACAGTAATGTGCTAGAATGAGGGGTCCAGCCCCTCGAAAATATCAAAAGTTCAACGATATCCGCTTCGGTATAAATTCTGAATTTTTAAACACGTGTAGCTATTATTCCTACTATTCTGAAAAGTGCTGGGAGCTGGTTGTGCATTGTTCATTTATTCCGCAATGTAACATTATTCCAGTGCTTTTTACATCTATGTCTGGAGTTTATAGACAGACGGCTAAATTTTACCTAATTCCCGAACATGAGGAAGTTGCTCCCAGCACTTTTCATGTTAAGGAATTTGTCTTAAACAACACAGAATAAATTTTATAGCGGAAATATAACCGTATATCGTTGAACTTTTACGATCTTTGTAGTAGTACATATATGTTCTAATTTTAAACCTGTCACGTGACAAACAGCTGATGTAAGCGATGTCGTTTTGGTCGAACTCAGCAGAGACCCGATATATACAAGCGCAAACACCACAATTCACATTCATCAAAACTAATGCTGTTAAAAACAAATTAAAATTGTATTCATTTTCTCTGAATATATTAAGGCGTATATTTCATCGGCGTCCTTAACCTAGCTGCGAAAGCTTCAATGCTGCATCATCATCATTATCGTGTCATCACTCCAGTGATTCAAACCTTTATATTGCGATAGTGAACTACATGGCCCTATTCGGATTCAATAAAGAACACACTTCTTCTGACGTTGCCAAAAAATCATTTTAGAAGAGGGATGTTCCTATAAGGTCGACTTTTTTTCTCCCAAGAAAAACATCAAAAAATTTCTTTTTTTAGATTTGGAGAAAAAACTTCTGATTAATTAAGGATATCCGCTCCTTAGCAAGTAACAACAACTCCTAAAATTATTATTTAATCAAAATAAATCTCAGACTATAGCTTGAAATTAAATCTTTCATTTCATGAACCTCTATATGATTCTCTCACACTGTGAGAATACCATTTGGATACCCTTTCACACTGTGTCAGAATATCACTTTTATTCAGTAAATAAATTACATTTTATTATACCTCTATTAAGAATACTCCAATTTGATTGGCTTGTAAGAAGGCTTTAAACTCAATAATGACTCCAAAAAGTACCACTTACAGCAATAATGACCTAGGAATTATTGCACGTGGGGTATAATGACCCGGTCATTATAATTAATGACCGCTAAAAATGACCTGTTAATCTAAATTCCATTCAAATTTAAAAATTAATGCATACAGTAATGACTGTTCATTACAAAAAATGCCGTTATGAAAATATGTATAGTCTTTTTATGATACGCAATATGATTGTCCTTTAGATGCGTCATAAAATTTATCGTTTTCATTGAAACTTTCGTTACAATGTCAAATTCAACGAATGCAGACTTGGCTCTTTTGTACAGTAAAAGTCTGCACCAGATTATCATTGTACTCGGAAATTGTATTTGTGAATTTATAAAAATGCATGTTACTGACAATCACAGAGTGTTTTAATAAATCGGCGGTGCAAAAACTTACAAGACTTGCAGGCGAAAAGTAAACAACTTCACTAGCGAATCCCGATCCCGATGAAACACTGATAATGACAGTTCGTACATGTAGGTCTAATATACACAATTGACTATTTTAGTAATTAAGTCTACAAAAGTTGTCTTAACTTATGTCGGTATAATAAAAGTTATTAATACATTTTCAACAGTGAAATATTATACAATTAATTACCCCTTATGAGGTCAACATGGTGAAATAAGGACCCGAGACCTGGCCCTAGAGGTGACCTGACCTGACCGAGGCCGCGTAATTGATTACCCCTTATGAGTTCAACATGGTGAAATAAGGACCCTCGACCTGGCCCACTCGCTGACCTGACCTGACCTCGGCCACTACGCGGCCTCGGTCAGGTCAGGTCACCTCGTGGGCCAGGTCGAGGGTCCTTATTTCACCATGTTGACCTCATATGGGGTAATTAATTGTATAATATTTCACTGTTGAAAATGTATTAATAACTTTTATAATGAACTTTGAAAAAATACCAACATAGTGGGTAAATACATATACTCAATAACTTGTGAATTCAGACATATTATTGTATACAAGAATTTTCAATTTTTGAACGGCTGATTTTCAGATCCGGAGGATCGGACTACCTTAAGATTTTATTTAACAAAAGCTACATGTAAGATAGTCATGTGGGGTTCTACATGTAAGATAGCCATGTGGGGTGCACGGATTAGAATTAATGCCCCAATTAAAAGATGTGCCTTTGGGGTTATGTCACAACAAATGTACTTTTTAGCGCCAGATACCCGAATATCAAAAGTTAAAAAAAATTGATGAAATAGCATCGTAAAAGAATTCGACATAAATAAATGTAAAATGACACCTTCATTTTACAGTATTTATTACGATTTTACAGTATTTATTACGATTTTACAGTATTTATTACGATTTTGAAAATAGGAATTTTGAACTACAATTTATCAAAACCCTAAGAAACGGTGTTATGGAAAATGGTGACATGAAAACGTTATATTAAGCAAAATTAATATTTAACAAATCGTTTTATATTTGATTGAAATTGTTATGCAAATTCGAAAACACGTTATTCAAATCCATAAAATTCGATTCATGTTCTTTATCTATTGATTTATATTATACAATATTGTTATTCATATTCGTAAACTTTGTGATTTATGTACGAAATCTTGTGATTTTTATTCGAAAAGTTTATATTGCATATCAATTATAAATTTTCGCAGATAAAATATAACATTTTTATCATTGTATCTATATTTTAGATTTTGATGGAAAACAAAACAGCAATAGGGATTGCATTATCAAGAGATAAAGTAAATCACGTGATCAGAGCAAGACGAGAAGTGATTGTTTCTGCTGGTGCCATTAACTCACCTCAGATCTTAATGTTATCTGGAATTGGTCCGAAAGAACATCTGGATTCTCTAGGGGTGAGCTACATGTAAAAGAGAGAGAGAGAGAGAGTTCGCTTTGATACAATTCATATTGTATGAATTATTTTTATCCTATTGAAAATGCATTTGTTTACAATTTCTCACCAATATAGCGAAACATTAATTAACATAAACGTTAAAAAAAAATAATAGTACACTGAAATTTTGAGTTACTACTTTGTTTTTAAGCGGCAAATTATAGTTTCTTTAAAATATTGTTCAATGATAACAAAAAATCATAAGTGCAGAATATATAGTTATGATACACTCATTGCTTCATTTAACTTTTTTCGCAGATTCCAGTTGTAAAGGACCTTCCAGTTGGTCAGAATCTACAGGATCACATCTTCTCAGCTTTATACTTTTATGACAACTCCACGAAATCTACAGTTCTTCCTCCATCTCTTCTGCAAACACTAAGATATGCAGTTTTCAAGTCAGGTCTGTATAACTTCATCCTAACCCCCAACCCCCCCAACACACAAAATTTAATACACACACAAGACGCGGATCCAGGAATTTTTTTCCGGGTGGGGGGGGGGGTCCACGTCAACTCGATCTATAAAATGTCTGATAAGCAAAAAAAAAAAAACCTAGACAACATGATCCAAAACCTGAAAAACCAAGGGGGGGGGGGGGTTGAATGGTAATGTATAGGTCTACACTTTCCTTAGTCAGTCTCTTTCACATTTTCAGGAACATGACTCTCCTTTTATTTTGAGAAGGGCCCATGTAAGTGTTTCCTGGGGAGGGGGGTATATTTTTTACGATATTATAACATATAAATCTAATAACTCTTAAATTCCATGGGGAGGGGTGTCCAGACCCCCCCCCCCCATCCCACCCCCCTTTGCATGTACAAAACAATCGATATGACACGCGTTAAGCTGCAAGTTTCTAGTTTCAGCAATCTTTAAATATTTATTCCTCAAGCAATCTTCTTTTGTTTTAATTTACGAACTTTAAAACTTTGTTGACGTTAATAAGAAATGACATACATCTAGGTCCTCTCAGCAAACCCCATTATGAGGCGGGCAGCTTCCTGGAAGACGATAGTACATTCCCTCCAGATATACAGATGTCATTTCACGGAATATCAATAACAGATATCTCCGGCATAGACCAGTTAATAAACACGTTTAATTTTGTCCCAGAGGTAAGACAGAACTATTTGCAAACTAGTACTCCCTCCGCTCCGTCAAGAAGTGCAGAGTCAAAGCAAGTCCCTGTTCACCTCTAATGAGCGGACCACTGGACTTGTTGCTAGAAGTTATATTTGGAGCAAATAATTGCATTAATAAAGATTTTCGGCAAAATAAAGTAGAATTGATTCTTTTCCTGACCACTCGTTAAAAATTTCTATTTAATGCTTATGGTTTTCCAGAAGAAATCCAATTTTTAATTAAAATGCACAACTTTTCGACATTAAATTTGACAGGAATGACCAGTTAACTTATCAATTTAATAAAGAAATAAAAGTTATAAATTCCTGTGTGAGCATCAATGAACCTGAAATACTGCGGTAAGTAAAAAGAAACTGAAAACGTCACACTGGATTTTGTAACTACACGTACATGAAGTCATGTAGTCTTAGATTATGCATAGTTCTCAAGGTAAGGTATGGGTTAGAGTTATGTTAAAGATAGTAGTGAAAATGTAACGCTTTATAACCCATTCAATAGTTAAGACAATCAGGCAATTTTGATACAAAACGAAATGAAACTAACGCGGGTATGTTAAGGTTACACCCAGAGATAACCTACTTGCCTTCACAATATTACGTCATAGTAAGCTGTATGACGTGAACTAAAGAAATAATGATTTCTTAATATCTATCTTTAAAGTTTAATTTCAGGTCCAAGAAAAGAACGGAATCATTCAAAACATAACATAAACTAAATCTTGTCGTTTTTGGGTGGTATAAATAGCTAATTATTTAGCACGGGGGTTAAATACCAAACCCATGACGTCATAACTGTAACCGGAAGTAGAACTCTTTAATAGATAACTTAACAAAGTTAATAGCCAACTTGGCTTAAAGCAGTAAACTGCCTCCAGTTATGATTGTCAACCCAGGTAAGGGGATATCTGAACTATGATCAACGCTAAATGAAAACACAGTTAATTGTAAGTTTTATAAATTTAATAAAGTGAGAATTAACCTTTGTAAATGATAACAAATAATAAATAATAGTCAAAATTTAAACAAGAATAAAGTCTTTCAAAATTGCACAGGAATAAATAGTTTTATCAAAAATATAATTTAATCTGGCAAGTGAATAACAATAATCTCAATAAATAAATAAGAAGTTTGTGAAAAATTTAATAGGAAAAATGGGAGGAATGTGAAAAACCTATGAAAATAATTTATGTCCCTACCGAGTTTCCATACTTATGAAAAAGGTCAAAAATCCTATTAAAAACTGCTATAAATGTCAATGATTTGGAAAAATGTAAGGGAAATGAGCTACATCACCCAATATGAACTCTACTAATCAACACTCTAGAGTTGAACTTAAAATAATAATGCTAAATCTGGATTCTAAAAATATCTAACCCAGATAATAAACAACACCAAAAATAAATAAATAAATAGTAAATAGTGGTTCTAGGAATTATACCTGTTATCTACAAATCCCTAGACCAGGCTGAACTTGGAAAGGGGAAAAATAAATTAACTCTATAAAACCTACATCCTAACCGTTTCCTAACAAAAACCTAGAACTTGTGAAAAACATGAAACTAAAGCTAGCTAAGACCTAGAGTACTGTTAAACCATGAGGTTTTCTTAGCACTCTAAGGTACTAATCAAATAGTGCTCATAAACCATGAGGTTTTCTTAGCACAGTAAAGAGGAACTAACCATGAGGTTGTGTTCCCCAACCCAAGTGAAGAAAACTACACGAACACGGCTTTAAATACCCTAGCTATAGGCCCAAAAATAAAAGCCAATAAACATCAAAGATCCTACAACTAACTTAACCAATCAGAACACAGCTACCAAAAGTACTATGGAAAGACTCCCAACATGGATGACACTTCCTGTTTAAAAAGTAAAACATGTGGAATGTCAACACATGTCCTAACTTATAAAAGACAAATAATAACGGGGTTTTACGTAAGTAACAACTGAAAACATAAGGTAAATAGAATTATCAGACTGAAATACCAACAAATACTTGCAAAATATAATTTACGAAACGAGGGCTATGAAATAGAAATCTAAACCACTACATTCCTCCCCCAATAAAAAAAACAAAATTTACAATAAATTTTTGTTTTCAACACAAGACAAATGTTAATGTCATTGTCACTATTCAAAGTCCTCTGGAGGTTCCAGGAATGGTCTCACAGTGAGAAATCTAACGATCACACAACTGCTGCAGTCTAGTCCTTGTCTCGTAATATACGGATGGCTCAGGCATAACACATGGTCCTGGCGTGTAAATAGTACTGAAGCTCATCTGCACAGTCTCTTCTGGATTGTCTACTCCTCAAGAACATCAGCTGTCGATCAACTTGTGCGAGAAATTGTATAACAAGGATTAGAAATGAATCAAATCAAATTAATCACCATCAATGCAAGTTCTGGAGTCATATCTAAACAGAGAAAAAAACTTTCCAAAATTAAAATCTTAAATTCTAAGACTTTAAATAATATCTGGATAAATGGAAAGTTAATCAATATAGTTATCTATCAAATTCAGACTCCACTGAATTAAAACTAATATGCTATCAAGTAGTACACATACTTATAACATAAGCTAAACAAGAGATGACCTATGCATCACCTTCCATAGATTAACTATATGAACAACTTAAGTGTTGATTTCAGCACAGTACAAGGGAGATAATTTAAAGATCATCTACAGTCAGTATTAAACTATGAATACCAAGCTCTCAATAATTCATATCTATTATTACTGTTACTGAATAAACCGAAAGAACTGAAATATACTGTTTTGACTTCTAGATAACTATAAATCATTGCCAACTACTGTGTCTTATTAAATAAATAAAACATCTATCATTGACCTTGTATCTACTAAAGTCAAACACAGTGCTAACTTGAATGTTATTCGCAAGAAAATAAATGACTACCAAAAACTAAATCATTAAAAAGTAATCAGGATTTACTTTAACTAGACTGAGATATTTCAAAAATTAAATGTCATTTGCTATCTCTACAAAAGGTCAACTCAAACCTTTTATATATCATATTATATTGAATTCAAAAATAAAAATAACTATTTACATAGGCATTTAAAAAAAAATAAAAAAAAAAATAAAATGCCTAGATGCCTGGTCTCAAGGAGAGTAGATAACAGGGGGTTTGATTGTTCTACCCCACCTTGACTGTCTAAGGGGTTCAGGACTAGGTAAATTAAAAACAGGAGGAATAGTCTCCTCAGCTTCCTCTTGAACATTAAAATCTACAGGAGTATTATCTACAGGGGGTTCTAATGACTCGTCAAGGGAAGTAACTACTGGTGTCCAGTTTCTAGGAGGTAAAATGCCTTCATAGGGTTTTAACTGATCTACATGTACCACAATGAGAGGGCTCTTAGGGTCTTTTTGAACTTGATAGGTCACATCTGTGATCTTCTTAATAACTTTGTATGGCCCTACCCATCCTAATCCTTACTTAACACCAGCTGAGGGTGGATACCACCTCCAGACAAAGTCATTTTCTGAAAACTCTCTAGGTTTTAATCCCCTATCATAGTGTTTCTTCTGTTTTGATGCTGCCTGTCTAAGATTTTCAGACACAAAATTGTAAGAATCAGCTAAAACTATTCTTAACCACTCTACATATTCTACAGGGCAAGTGGGAATAGGTGAAGAAGGAGGATTCCCTAACATAAGATCAACTGGGCTCATAATTTCATGGCCAAACATGATTAAATTTGGTGAGCAACCTGTACTTTCTTGAATGGTTGACCTATATGCCATAAGAACAAAGGGTATATTGTCATCCCAATTATCCCTATTTTTATTTGCATAAGCTGACAACATTTGCAAAAGTGTCCTATTCATCCTCTCAATTAAACCATCTGACTGTGGCCTATATGGAGTAGTGCATGTCTTTTCAATGCCTAACTTCTCACATAAGACAGAAAATAGTTCAGACTCGAACTCGCGACCTCGGTCTGAGTGAATCTGTTTAGGGACACCAAATCTACAGATGAATTCATTAACTATCTTATCTGCTACTGTCAAAGCTGTGTGATTAGGTACTGGATAAGCTTCAGCCCATTTAGAAAAATAATCACAGAGAACTATGATGTATTCATTACCATTACTTGTTCTGGGCAAAGGGCCTAAAATATCAACTCCTAACCTATCTAAAGGAGCACCTATAACCGATTGATGAAGAGATGACTTCCCAAGACCTGGACCAGCTTTTGCTCGGGCACAAACATCACACTCTCTACACCAACGTTTAATGTCTGAAGACATACCAGGCCAATATACCCTACGCTTAATGGATTTAATGGTACGTTCTCTACCTAAGTGACCAGCAGTTTTATTCTCATGAAGTTCATGAAATATCTGAGATCTAATATGTCTAGGAGCAACCAATACAAAGTCTCCTTATCATCTAATGACTTCCACTTGTAATACAACATGTTTTCTTTGACTTCTAGAGATTCCCATAATCCCCAATATGTTTTCAAGTCAGGAGAAGCATCCAAAACAACATGTTTAGGGGGTTTAACAATGCAACTTTCCTTTAATCTAATTATTTGCCTAATAGCAGGTTCTTCTTGTTGCCAAGTTCTTAACTGATCAACTGACCAAGTATCCAACCAGTTAGGTACAACATCACAACTATCATCACCATTGTCATCAACAGAATTGTGGGACCCTGACTCCGCCGAGTTGAACCATTGGTCGGTTCTCACAGGAGCAACCTTAGCGGAGGACAATAATATGCTGTCCAATTGCCTAGGCACACCTGTTCGACCACCAGAATCCACACAATCCCCCAATTGACAATCAGGACAATCCTCACACTTACAATAACTGGAAGGCCTTCTTGACAAACTATCAGCATTACAATGGAATTTCCCTGGCCTATGTTGAATGGAAAAATCATAAGTCTCCAAAACTGAAAGCCATCTAGCCAAAATTCCTTCTAAATTTTTAAAGTTC